GAGATGCTGCATTAACTTGACGCCTAACTAATAGCAATAGCACCTATATACCACTTTATAGTGCTTTACAACCCTCCCTAAGCGGTTTACAGAGTCAGCATATTGTCCCCAACAATTTGGGTCCTCATTTTATCCACCTCGGAAGGACAGAAGGCTGAGTCAACCTCGAGCCTGGTGAGATTCAAACCGCCAAATGGCAGGCAATGGCTGCAGCACTGCAGCACTGCACTCTAACCGCTGCGCCACCAAGGTTCTATATATAATATATATAATGTTAGTTAAGGGTGATGGAAATTGTGGTCTATCACATTTGAAGCACCACTGGTTGCCCTTAGCTTCATTGTGGTTCTTCTTTTCATTATTTTTGCCATACATTCCTTAAATCATTCATAATTTACTTAAATCCTTGCATAATTTGAATAGAAACATGAGCTGTCCAATAAATGCATTTGCTTTGCAAATAGATTGTCTGTTATTTGATGGACTAATATTTTTATAGTGCTGGATACAGATTGCCAGGCTACAGAAGGATACAGAGATAACCTGGACAATCAAGATTCCATTATTATAAGCAATACCCCAAAAATAGAATTCTAGTGTTTCTTGTGTCTGTTTCTTGTGTTGTCTGTTTCCTACCTCAAGGGGCAGTCTTGAAAGAGTCTCTCTCTCTCTCTCTTTCTCTCTCCCTCCCTCCCTCCCTCCCTCCTTCCCCCCTCTCTCTTTCGTAACACAGAGAATCAAGGTCCTGCAACCTTGAGTTTATTCCTCACCCATTTCTGTCTTTCTGGGCTACGTTCATTATTTTCCTAAGGGCTGCCCCATATCTTCTTCAAGGCGGTCTCTGTAGTCTACACAAGCTCACTTTTGCTGGAAATTTTTTCATGATTGAGAGTAACAAGCAGAAACCTTTCCCCTTCCTTGTTACAAAAAAAAAGTGGGTGGGGGGCTGTTGTTTTGCAAAACGAGTTAGGTTCTGTCCACACTCCAAGGGGCTGCAAGGATTGGGGACAGAGGGTGGGACCAGACCCCAGACTTATGCAAAAACCTTTCTGTCTCAGTATCAGATTTCACGCGGTGCCCGATACACTCTGCACAAGAACAATGAAGAGGACTGGGAAGTTAGCGACAGTGGAGGAAATGCAATCAAAGCGCCAGGAGTCTGTTTCATGATTCCGCCCACCGACCCTGATTCGCTCGCTGTGGTAGACAAGTAAGCATTTCTTGACCTAGCTTGCATCCACACAAGCCAATGGTGGGATTCAGATTTTTTTTTTTTTGCTACCAGTTCTGTGGACGTGGCTTGGTGGGCGTGGTGTGGTTTGGTGGGCATGGCAGGGGAAGGATACTGCAAAATCCCCATTCCCTCCCCACCCCACTAACCTGCTTGCCAGCTCCGTTTTCCTGTGCAGGTCAGCCAAAGGAGATCCAGCCAATCAGCTGGGACTCAATGGGAGGCGGAGACTAGATGGGGTTGGGCCAGTCAGAGGTGGGATTTGCTGGTTCTCCAACTACTCAAAATTTCCACTACCGGTTCTCCCGAACTGGTCAGAACTGGCTGAATATCACCTCTGCTCCATTCCCACCCCACTCCTGGGGGATGGTTACTGCAAAATCCCCCTTCCCTTCCCACCCCACTAACCTGCTTTCCAGCTCCGTTCTCCTGTGCAGGGCAGCCAAAGAAGAACCCAGCCGATCAGCTGGGACTCAATGGGAGGCAGAGAATAGATGGGGCTGGTGGGGCCAGTCAGAGGCAGTATTTGCCAGTTCTCCAAACTACTCAAAATTTCCTCTACTGGTTTTCCAGAACCGGTCAGAACCGGCTGAATACCTCCTCTGACACAAGCCAAAGGTGAAGTGTATGGATGTTCTCTATGATGGTTACATCAAGGACCTCCTTCCTTCCTTCCTTCTCTCGAATTCTCAATGTTCTTTGAAAACCCAGGAATGTTCTTCGCCAACTGGGGGTGTGTTTTCTTGTTCTATAGCATTGCTAGCCACTATCAATGTGTGAAACAGAAGACTGGATGCACAAAGAATCGGCTGGAGGACCGCTACAATAGCTTGAAGGCAGAGAGCATTGGAGGTGGGTACACCGCAAGAGGTCTAGGGAGACTGTGGGCCCCACTAAAAAAGGGAACCACGCACTCTAGTCTTCTTCTGTTCTTTGTAAGAGAACTGTCAGTGAATCATGCAGTTGTTGTGCGATTCTGGTTTGCCCCATTGAGTTTGTTTGCTGGGAAGGTCAAAAATGCGAAGCATGGGATCCTACAAGTGTTGTAAACACATGCCGCTTGCAAAGTACCCAAATTTTGGTTACATGACAGTGGGTGTTCTGACCCAGCTCCCCAAACACAACAAACCTTCTGTAGTTGAAGCAACGATTCCTTTATTAGGAGAGCCAGCAGCTCCAGCAAAACGTTTCTCCCTCACTGCAGGTCAATAGGTCTGTCTGACAGGGGAGATGAATAGCTGTTTGCCACATCTATTCATTTCCACCCCCTGCCTTTAATCCCCAGAGCTAGGGTGGGGCTTCGCTATCAGCAGTGGCTGTTCCATCCTAAGGACCGGTCCATGGATTTCCACTGCTCTCCTCTCCTCTGCCTTTTGCGCATCTGCTTGTCAGGCACTGGACCCAGCTCTTCCTCCTCTTCCTCATCAGCCACCTCCAGACATGGGGGCTGTTGACTCTCCATCTGAGGGCTGACAGCCTAGGCTTCGCCTCTCTCTCTCTTTTCCTCCCTCCCTCCCTTCCTTCCTCTCTCCCTTTTCTATCTCTACCTCTATTTTACCTTTACCTATTCTCTTCTTTCTCTCTTTCATCTCTTTCTCATCTCTCTCTCTCTCTCATCTCTATCTATCTCTAAGTCTTTCTCATCACTCTCTCTCTCTCTGCCAGCTCCTTTCCCTCTTCCCCCTTGGAGCTCTCAGGTTGCCTTGATGCTGATCCTGACTCCCGTGCCTCCTCCTCCTCATCTGATTATATAATTCAGCTGCTGGAGGGGCCACAACACTGGGGATACTGCGATGGTCAAGCATGCAAGGGCCAGTCATCAATCATTTTGACTCATTAACTTTGAACGACTGCTAATTGAATAGTTGTAAGTCAAGGACGACCTGTGTGATGAACCAAACCTGTGACATCGTGACATGTCATCAGGCCTTGGTGTTGAGAAGGGAGGCGTTCTCTGCTCCTTTCCAGAAACTCATCGCTAACCCAAACTACTTTTCCCCCCAAACTTCCTCAGATGCAGCATCTGTACAGGTACAGCAACTGTTGGCAGAGCTGGAGAAAGTGAACAGTGAACTGGATAAGCAGGAGAAGGCCATCACCGCAAACCTTCGTCCTCCTCTAGAGCAAAACAGGGTGGTGCAAGATAGCGCAGAGCGCTCCAATGACCTTAAGGTAAAAACACGTTGGGGTTGATGGGAGCTTTCTAACATTTTCCAATGCTGGAGAGATACTTTTTGGAGCAAAGCTGCAAAGACTGTAGGAGAAGACAGGTGACAGGTGGGTTGTGTGGCTGCAAGGAAGCCAAGAATCCTGAAAATGGCAGTTCGGCTTGGACTAAGACCAGGTGGGACAGAAGCTTGGATGAGCAGGACAGAAGCATTAATCTTGCATTCAATTACAAACCTGAGTAGGAGATCTTCTCCAGCTGGTTTGAACATTACAGGGATGCTGTCACGATCACTACCCATCTGCATAGCTCACCTTTCCCCCTCCAAAACATCTCTGCAGAACGTCATCAATCAGATCCGTCGCATTGAGCCAGAGAAAACAAGCAAGATCCAGGAATGTGAAGCCTTCATTGAGTCGATGCCCGAGTCCAGCAGTACCACCTTAGTGAAAAAAAAAGTAGAGAAGACCAACAACAAATACAACTGGGTCACCCAACTTCTCGATGCTGCTCAGGAGAAGTAAGTGCTTGTTCTGTCCTGCAGTTTCTCCAAGACGGGAATTCACCTGGTGCCTCACAATCCAGGTGTTTTCCAGTCCTTCTTTCTGGCACATCGGCCAGCTGTCTTTTTGAGAACTTTGCAAGCACTTTTGGACAGCATGTGTGTTTTGGAGAGAAGGTGCCACAGCTCGTCATTAGACCCTTTGTGTTGCACATAGAAGGTCATAGTTCATCTCCGGTATCTTTGGGTCGGGGTGGGAAAACTTCAACAGAGCTGCTTCTGCTCCACCATGAAGGGACCTATCTTCTTCAACCTGGAAGGTTCCAAATATGATAGGCTACCACTCAAATCATTCTCACTTAGGAACTTTAGGAACACAGTGGCTCATGTCATGAGGACTCAAGTTACTTGAGTCATTAGGTTAGCTCAATACTCAACTCATTAGGTTAGCTCAATACTCAACTCATTAGGTTAGCAAGTCCATGTTCAAGACCCAAATGCTGCTGCGTGGTGTGGCGAGCTCCTGTTACTTGCTCCAGCTCCTTGACGGCGACATGAAAGAAGCCCCCAAGGGTGTCCCCCAGCAATGGTGATGTCACCAACTAATCTTTTCAACTAGGAAGCACCTTAAATGATGACTCCAACATGAATGGGACAGGATTCAAGAACTGGAGTCCAATGCATCTAATGGGAGAAAGACCATGGGAGACTGGGCAAAGAAAGGCTGCCAAGGATACAGTCAGATAAGAGACAGCATAGCCTGTAGTTGGATAGTGGGCAGGGCAAGAGGCTCAGAAGGGACCCTCCCTAATTTCTCAAGCTTTTAAAGCAGATGGGGAAGAATTGTACTTTCAGACTTGCAAGAGTCTGTCATCGTAACTTTACAATAAAGTAGAATTAGTTCATCTGGTTGTGATTCCTATCTGATTTAACCTGTGAGACCCACATTGTACTTTCAGACTTCAGAATCAGAACCATAGAATCAGAGAATCAAGAGCTGGAAAGAACCTTGGAGAAGGTCTAGTCCAATCCCTTATTCAAGGCAGGAGACCCTAGACCAGGGTCTTCAAACTTGGCAAGTTTAAGACTTGTGGACTTCAACTCCCAGAATTCCTAAGCTAACGTGTCTGGAGGAAGAATTCTGGGAGTTGAAGTCTGCAAGTCTTAAAGCTGTCAAATTTGAAGAGCCCTGCCCTATACCATCCTGGACAAATGATTGTCCAATCTTTACTTGAAAAACTCCCGCGATGGAGTATCCCACAACTCTGGGAAGCAAACTGATTCATTGCTTCTCCTTAGTTCTGGTTCAGGAAGTTTCTCCTTAGTTTTAGTTCAGATCTCTGTGTAATGAGCTCTACATTCTAATAATGTAATATGACAATACAATAGAATTAATTCATCTGGTTGTGATTTGTGTTTGGTTGATCCCATAGGCCCACATCAATCTTGCAAGTCTGAAAGTACAATCCTCTTTCATCATCTTTAGCCTGAGGAACTAGGGAGGATCTTTTCTCAGCCTCTTGCGCAACCCAGAGCCCCCAGGCAGTGTCTCTGGGCTGAGTTTCCCAAGGTCTCTCTCACATACTATCACTTTTAGTTGAGAAAGGCTAGTGGAGGCGTAGAGAACGAGATGGGGCTGCTAACCTGCTTCATATGCTTGGGAGAGAGCTTCACAGAGCGCCTGATTTGCATGCAGAATGGCCCAGTTTGCACAATGGGCTTACCTGGGTTACGTGGGGGAGACAAATGTGTCCTATGAACCTTCTAACTTAGCCAGTTGTGACATGATGGAAGTAAGGTTTTGGATTCCATAGAAGATGAGAGGTTTCCTTTCTGTGATTATGAGAAACTGGGCACTATAGTGTGGACGATAGAAGGACAAAACCATAATCAGCCATAATCTATATGCTCCACATGCCGAAGGGTTCATTCATTCATTCATTCATTCATTCATTCAAAATATTTATATAGCTGCTTGTCTTTTAACCAATTCTTGGCAGCTCCCAAGCAAAGACCAAAAGAGACGAAAAATCACATTAAGGCTATTTATTCATTCATTATTCATTTATTTATTTGCCAAATTTGTTTGCCACCTATCTCACTATTCAAGGCTCTAACTTGATTTAAAACTGTAAAACCCCAACCGATTAAAACATTAAAAAATAATAAAAGAAATCTGGCACTGAAACGAAGTTCATTCTGGATCAGTTGAAGTTTCCGTCTAGTCTTCAAGGGCAGTGGCATCGTAGAGCACACTGCAGTAATCCAGACAGGAGGTGACCAAAGCACAAGTGACCGTGAACAAGGCCTCATTGTGTAGCCCCAACCCTTGAAGGGTGAAACAAGCAGGGTAAGGTCAGGAGGCTCCCTGTCTCTGCTTCGCTGCAATGCCGCACGTTGAGATACCCTCTTCACCAAGGGATCCTTCTTCACCCATGCAGGATCTTGTTCAATCTCATCTCTCTGGTGGAAAGGATCTCATGCTTTGTAGTGGAAGATCCCAAGTTAAACAACCTTGAACTAGTGACAGAAGCAGGGGTGGGATTCAAATTTTTTAACAACTGGTTCTGTGGGTGTGGCTTAGTTGGTGGGCGTGGCTTGGTGGTCATGTTATTGGCCAACTCAATATCACTCATATCGAGGCACGCATCTCCTCGCCTGGCCTCTCATGACTGTGGGGATGCTGCAACAGTCGTAAGTGTGAAAAATGGTCATAAGTCACTTTTTTAAGTGCCATTGTAACTTTGAATGGTCCCTCCACACAAGCAAAGGACCAGCAAAGGAGGGGGGGAAAAGTTCCTGAGACAGGAAGTCTAGTCCTGCCAAGAATGTAATAAGGGTTAACGGAGAGGCAGTTTCTGTAAGCAACACCAGAATGTTTCCTTCCTGCCTTCCTTACAGGATTAGCCCAGTAATTTCTTCTAACAACCAGTTCTCCGAACTGCTTAGAATGTTAACAACTGGTTCTAGTGAATAGGTGCAAACTGGTAGAAACCCACCCCTTGACAGAAGCGCTTGCCCATTCTCGGGAATGCCCAGCTGTAACCACGAAGCTTGTTGGTGCAAACATTATTTCCTTTAATAACATCTAATGCCTTTTATGTAATTGGTACTGAATTAGGTTAAGCTGCGGAAGGACAGTTGAGCTCTCAGTCCTGGGACGGAGCCGAACCGAGTGAAATGCAAGCGAGGCTGGCAGTGTTCAGGGTGGGAAAATGAGCAAGCTGGAAAGAAAAGCTCTTAAAGGGGAAGAAAGGGGCAGCTGAACTGCCCCTTTGATCCTTGTTCTTCCTCTGCTGGAAATTTGGCTTCAGGCCATTACCTCAAATGAAAATAAACCTTCTTCCCAAGCATGATCGCTTTGAATTTTCATGAGGATCTCTAGGAGGAATGGAAGAATATTACAGGAATTTCTAGAAGTGGGTGCTTTAGAACCAAAATATGCCTGAGTGAGGATTAACAGAACATAACAACAGAATAAAGAGTCAGAAGGGACTTTGGAGGTCTTCTTGTCCACCATAAACAATACACACACACACACACACACACACACACACACAAGGATTATTGTGGTTGGTCACACAGTTAAGCCAGATGTTTAGATTTGATTTCGCATTTTATCCACCTATTACCATCCTTTCAAAGGACCTGGGATAGACAGATGTTGTTGTTAGAGGTGTCATCACAGGATGTCAGTTGTTTCAAGTCAAGCTGCCTTTTGCAATTGATTGATGGCGATTTTATCAATGCCGATGGGCATTCAAGGGATACTCCAGAGCAGTGATCCCCAACCTTTTCGACGCCGCGGCCCGGTTCTGGCATCAGCTGGGCGCCGCGGCCCGGTACCGGCGTCAACTGGGCGCCGCCATCTTTTTTTGACGAAAAAGTGCTTCTGGTGACGTCACCGGAAGCACTTTTTCGTCAAAAAAGATGGCGGCGCCAGCGCTTCCGGTGAGCTTTT